CCATCGAGGGTTCCTGGGAAAAGACTCGTAGGCATGATTGCAGGCCACTATGATCTGTGCTCACATAGGCCTGAATTAGCCTCTCATCTGCCCTGTGCTCTCTGAGCTTTTGTAAGCACCAGGGGCCAGTTCAGGTTTCCTCTTTATTGGCAGGGAACATGCTGGAAGCAGTTGCAGCTCCCCACAACAACTGGGCCCCAGCACCCACAGGTGGGAATCGAGCCAAGGGGCCCCCAGCAGGTGTAGGTGGGTCTTCCCAGTTATGGGAGAGGCCCTTTGCCTGCAAATGTCCCCTTAAGCTTGATTTTGTCCCTGTTTTCCCTTGGCTGTTCTCAGAACCTGGAAGGGGTTGGTGTGAGTGTGGGGCTGCCCATAGCCCCAAGAAGGCTCCTCCAAGCCAGCACAACTCCTCTCAGCTTGCTTATCAGACCAGCACCAGGAGTGACAGCCACACTTTGGCCCTCCAGCACACCACCCTGCTCCCAGGATGTCTTCTCATTTTGTTTTCTCGCCGTTTCTGTTTCCCTCCGGATTTGACTTCTTACAGGGAAATGAAAAGTAAATATTGTTATGGCCACTTGTGTGGCATGGATTCGACCGTGCTGTTCAGAGAGTAGGTTTTACCTGCTATTTCCTTGTTGACTTATTGAGTATTCTGCTGTTCAGATCACCCCAGCTCATCAAGTCAGTTTTGTATTGGAGATCTGAAGTCAGTTTGGGACCCACATAATATAAGCCAATGAACTCTGCTGTTTCTGCTACCTGCAGATGTGGGACACGAGCTGTCGAGGGAAACATAAGGCTCTGAAGTCCCAACTTTCACCCCCAGCCCCTGGAGTCTGGCTAGGGGCTGACAGATAGACCCAGGGACACACTGATCAGTGGGAGGACAAAGGGTGGTGCATAGCAGTGGCTTTGTGAGTGCAGGTGATTTTATGTTAGTGCAGAGCGTGACCTAAGGAGCACACACGATTTATTCCCCTGCAGATGCTCACACCCTGAGCCTAGAGTGGAAAAAGAAACAAAGAAGCCGTATGTCCTCTTCACAGTATGGCGCTGTTCCCAGGGAAGGGAGGGTTGGGAGAATGTGTTTTACAAACTACCATGGGCTCTCTAAGGGAAGCCTGAGAAGTCAGCCTTCAGCGGAGGATGCTGACCAGGTCCCAGCTCATCCCTTCCTCCGCACTCCATCTCCTGCCCTCCCATCGCTCATCCATTCACAGACACCAGTTCTTGGGGGTGTCCGGTGGGGATGGACATCAGAGCTGAGACCTGGCATGCCTGGGCAGCTGGCTGCCTCCATATCTGTTCTCATTGAGCAAGCTGAGCCCGAGGGGGGCAGCAGAGGAGAGATGTGATGCTTGCTGTTTCAGTCTTTCTAAAGAGAGGTGACTTGCTTGGCAGGCACCAGAGAGAGTGAATGAAACACCTAAAGAAATGTCCCTGCAGCAGCCAGCCTCCTTCCAGACCTCCAGATAACCAGAGTGTGATGAGGTAGAAACTTGTGGTTGCAACTGTTTCCTATCTTGGAGCAGTAGCTCTGAAAGGCCCTGTTGTCAGCCTGAAGTGGAGGTGCCTGCAGTTTGCTTTGGCCAATTCCTAGCCCCACCATTCTTCCTCAGCTCTGGTGTCTGTGTTTGAGGCTGCCATGTGGTCATGGCCAGGGTGTCGGCACAAGGAATATGACAGGCAAGGACTGCTCCTAGCAAGAAAGGGAGCTTTGCACCACACATGTCCAGCCCTGGAAGTGGAGTTCCCGGGGTTCGTCTTCCTCGAAGAAGCTCATTTCTAGGAATGCCCAGCACCTCCTTCCTGGTAGCCATTCTCAAATGGGGAGTCTTGTGGTACCCAGGAGTGTGGGCTTGCAGAAGTGGGGGGGAGTGCTGACGTTCTCCTCCAGGAGCGAGCTCGGAACCTGAGCCTCGTCTGCCACGCATGTGTAGGCAGAATGTGTCAGTATAGAGCTCAGTGTGTGAATGTGAGTGTGTGAGAGTGTGTGGGAGACTGCACATGCGGAAGTGACTAGATGCATGAGTGTGAGCGTGCACATGTGGTCTGTGTCTGAGTGGCCATGTGTGAGAACAAGGGAGAGAATATGTCACTGAGTGGCAGGTGTGTATTGGTGAGAGACTGGGTGTTTACGCGTATTTCAGTATGTGTATCATGTAAAGTAAGACTCGGAGACATCTGAGAGGGAGTGCTGTGTTTGTGACAGTGAGTGTGGGAGTGGGACATGAACCTTTGCTTGACAGGAACTGAAAGCCAATGGGTGTGTAAGAGACCGTGACCATCTCTGTGGAGGCTCCTTGGACCACTACCTTCTTGGGCCTGGTTCAGTGTGCCCCCATCCTTGGGAATTTCCTCTTCCACTTTTACCTCCCATCGCTGAGGAGGAACAGCTGTCAATGGGGTCTCTGTTGCAGATGCTGTTGGTGTGTAGTGGAGACAAAGCTGATGGAGTATTCTGGCTCTGGACATGGCCTCAGGCCTAGACTTAAGCTCTGCTCTCTCACTGTACTTGCTAAGCTGCCTTGGGCCTGTTGTGGAACCTAACTTCTGAGTTATCTTGCCTGAAAAACAGGAAGGACAGGTCTTCACTGGAGCTGTTAAATCTACCTGCTGTCTCGGGACACTTAAAGAAGTGCAGAGACCCCTGAGGTGTGGCATCTTGTGGCACCTGTTGGGGACAACATGTTAGGATGGTGGGGAAGGCCACATCCACTGTTCCCTATGTGGGCTCCTCAAAGAGGGGGAAATGTTTGTTGACCAAACATCGAAATTTATGAAGATAAGCGCGAGCATAACATAAAACCCGAGGCTTAGAGAGAACCAGCAGAGGCGAAGCATAGCTCTGCAGAGGAGGGAGAAAAGAAGCTGAAGGTTTGTTTCTCCCAAAGAGAATCCAGGTCTCATCTCCCTTAATTTTAGAAAATAAAAAATGTTATTAATGGAAACTTTAAAAGATCCAGACAAAGGAGCAGGAACTTTGCTATGAGATGGTGTCTCCTAGAAATGTCAGAGAAGCTACACCCGTGAAGTCTTACATGAATGCCTAAACATGGCCTGGCCAAGGTGACACCAATAGACAGGTTAACATGGATGAGGGGACGCTCTGGAGGCCTCAATCCTACACAAAGAACCACAGGCAGCTGAGGGTTACTGAGAGCAAGAGAAATAGTCTCCAGGGAAGAACACGCCAAATGGTTATCTAATAACAAATGGCCACTCTTGAAAACATATACATACAAGTTAACATACAGACCAAGCAGATTGTTTTATGTATTTGGGAATATGTATACATACACTATATGAATGTGTAGATTTATGTGTGTAACAACAGTTAAAGAAAAAGGGGCAATGAATTTGAGTAAGAACAAGGCGTGTAGATGCGTGGGAGGGTTTGGAGGTAGAAAGGAAAGGGGGGAAATGTAATTGGGTTATGATTTTTAAAAAAGATAAAATTAGTTTCAAAGCTTAAAAAAAATGAGGACATTCATAGAAAATATGAGCCCTTGCCTGGAATTCCACATCCCAGAGATTGGCTTTTGAATATTCTGGTACCATTTTATTCTTTCTTTGGTACCCTAAAGCACTTGCCTGTGCACTTGTGACATTGCTGTGTGGCTGTGATTTGCTCTGTGATGCAGAGCAAACTCCCAGCTCTAAAACTCTTCTGCTGCTCAGCGCTGTGATCAAGGGATTATGGATTTCGTACATGAGAGCCCTGACGCACCTCGGTCAGCAGTTACCATGGGTGCACAGTGATCTCTCTCTGATCTGTCTTCCTTGTCACCATTGCGGGGGCAAGTGCAGGGCACCTGGGCTCTTGCTAGGGTTGCTGCTGTGTCCTATGGCTTCCTCTCTGGGAGTTGTTCTTCCTGCTGTTGTCCTGTTGCTAGGACCACACACATTTTTTTTTTTTGTTTTTGTTTTTTGAAACAGTGTTTTTCTGTGTAGCCTTGGCTGTCCTAGACTTGATTTGTAGACCAGGCTGGCCTCAAACTCACAGAGATCCGCCTGCCTCTGCCTCCCTGAGTGTTGGGATCAAAGGTGTGCGCCACCATGCCCAGCTGGCATCACACATTTAAGAGTTAGGAGACCCACCCGTCTCCCTGAGCCTGAATCTTGGCAACCTTGTGTGGAGCCTTCTCCCTGGGCAGCAAGTACTTCACAGACTGAGCCATCTGTTTTGAGATAGTGTCTCAACACCTAGTCCAGACTGACCTTGAACCCACAGTGGTCTTGCCTCATGGAATCACAGGCCTGTCCCGCCATATTTATAGGGACACTAGGTTTTTTAGCATATGCCTAGACTATCAGCAGATCCTAGTTTGGTGTGAAAAGACTACATTGAGACTTGATATCACCTTTGTAGGCTGCTGCAAGTTTCCCCCTGTTGCCCAATTTTAGAGAATTCCCTGGAAGAAAGTTTAAAAAGCTAATAGACTAGCCCAGACATATTTTTCTCCCCAACAAGAAGATGATCAGATTTGGCTCAGAGCAGGGACTGTTGACATCTGGGTCAAGAGTAAATAAGTGCCTGTGGAGTTTCTGGCAGAGAGTGGCATTAGGGCATTAAATGCTCATTCTTAGTATCCTCCATGTGAAGAATCAGTTTGTCATGGCAGAGCCACACGCCTGGGTCACTGCAGGTGCTAATCTTCTCAGTGCTCACACCAGGCCTGGATCTTAGCTGGCTGTCTCTGAACTCACACTCAGAGGCAGTCTCCTGCCCCAGCACTGTCAGCTGACTCCTGGTACCTGGCTTTGCCTGCACCCCAAGGCCTTTTCTGGATGGAGTGTCCTGGCTTTTCTCTGGGCATCCCAGGATGTCCTTGGGTTTGGTAGCCTGCCCATAGCATCTCTCCTGTCTGTGTGGGATGGTTGACTAGTGATGACACTGTGAATAGTTTAAGTTAGGTTTTGTTAGTGGTCTCTACATTCTGCTATAAGGAACATACCCTGAAGCCCATTTGTTTTTCTCCTCACTATCTCCTCAGGTGATGAGCCCATCGGGGGACGGCTCCGGAAGCTGAGCCTCGGACAGTATGACAATGATGGTGGGAGCCAGGGGCCCTTTTCTAAGTGTGGATGGGGAAAGGCCGGAGTGGACCCAGCCCCAAGCCTGGGATCATTTTCTTCTCCTGCAGACATCAAAGAGGTATGTGCTGGCCCTGTCCCCATCTCCACTTAACCCCACTTGTTTTCCTATCCTTATGCTTAGGGAAATGGCGGTGCCTGTCCTTGCATAAGGTCACCAGTCACTGTAACCTCTCTGTCCTTGACTGTCCTTGATATGGTTCTTAGTGACAACAGAGGTTCTGATTGGGAACACAGGTTAGAAGGGCTGTGTGGGGTCCACACAATCCCCAGATATGGCTAGACAGGGGCTACATTGCATGGGCCAGTGAAGCCTGAATGTTCTGATCTGTAGAATGGATGTGAAATGCAAAGCATACAGGTGGGTGGGTTGTGATGGTTAAGAAGCAAGGGCCTGGCCCTAAAGGTCCCGGCAGATGGACAGTGCAGCCAGTGGCAAATTCAGACTTCTTCTAGTCTGCTACAAAAGGTCCCAAATCCTCCATACAAATGACGGCTCTGAGGAGGTCGACAAGAGTCCTCCTGACGAGGAGATGTTGTTAAAGCTTCTCATAAGAATTCAGCAGGCAACCATCCCCAAACAGTTAACTCCAATTATACACTTGATTCTCAAGTTGAAAAGTTGTAGCCTTTAGAATAGGCAAGAAGAAAAAAGAACTTATCATCTTAACTCTCACAAACAGATATTGTTGATATCTGGAATATTTTTCCGTGTTTTGTGTGTGACTTCCTGTGTATTTCCACTGACCTGTGACACTGATGTAGTTAAGGATTCCTGGGTGCTGCTTTTGTGCACAGTGGTGGCTCATCTCCCTCACCCTCGTCTCCTGGTTGTCCAGCACTGTACTAAGATGATGGTCCTTAAGCTCCTTCTCTTAGCTTTGGTGATAGTTGAGTTTCTTCATAGTGGTGATGCCAGTTTCTTTCGCCTTGACCCACTCTCAGATGTGAGCTCTATCTGCAGACCTTCTTGAGGGACCATGTCTGTGTGGAAGGGACCTTTCTATTGAGTCTTCGATTTTTCTGTTCTCCCTCTCTGCTGATTTCAGACGATGATCACTGCATATGCCCCTGACCTCGATATGATCGATGGCAGGATGACAAACAGCAAGGAGTCCGTGTGTCTGACCCCAGCATTCCCTGTATCTCCAGAAACACCATATGGTAAGAAAGAATTAAAACCAGCTGGGTCTAACTTGGTACCTCAAGGTAGGGAGTAATAAATAGTACCCTTTGCTCTACTTTCTTTTCCAGTGAAAACATCCCCACGATACCCTCCATTCAGCCCACCTGAGCCCCAACTGAGCAGCCCAGCCAGTTTGCGCAAAGGAGGACGTGGTAAGAACCCTTGGCTATAGCAGCCGTGATACCATTTGCATGGTTGCTGTTTCTACCGTGGCGTCCTCTGATGCAGACGTATTTCCATTTAGATCACATCTCAAAAGGCTTGGGCACGGACATGTCTTGCTAAGGCTTGGGATGTGGCTGTAAATCCACGGGTGGGGAATTGAGTGGCATTAAGGCATCGGTAGACTTCCTAGCATTTCTAGGAACGTTCAGGTTTGTGGCTGACATTTGTGGCAATTGATGCATGCTCAGTTCAGCAGCAGGGCCTGCCGTCAGCTCAGCACAGGTGTTTAGCATCCTGGTGACTCCCCATTTTAAAGGAGGAATGCTTTCCACTTCACTAAGAAAATGGGTTCCAGCAAAGAGCAGGATGTGTGCGTGCACCCCGCTACATAGACACCTCTGTTGCTGTGTGTGACCCAGCATTTAGCCTACACACACCTGGTCTTTCTGTCCTTAAATACTTGATACTTGCTCTTGTTCAGTACAGTGAAACCTAGAGACCCTCACTGTTTTGCTCTGCAGGGAGAGAATGCTGCCAGTCCAGTTAGTTTCTTGGTATTTCTTCCAAGTAGACATTGCCCACGTTTCTTGGGATCTCAGGATGAGCCAAGCATAAGCGGGTAGAGAGAAGCCCCACATATATTCATTTCGGCCATTTAATTTTCATAGTGGAGTTTGTTGTTTGCCATTCCCTGAAAAATTCAGGCGATCTCATTTCCCTGAGTTCTAACTCTTCCACGGTCATCTCAGTGTATGAGAGGTCCAGGGAAACATCCAAACCTGCGCCAGCTCATCTTTAGTGCCTGACTCATGACAGCCTGTCTCCCCAGACTGGTACAGTCTGGTTAGCATCCAGACTTTGAAGAAAAGTACTACTCTGTCTGCATTACCTAGGGGAAACTGAAGTTGGAGTGGCCACAAAGTACCTTTGCTTCCATGTTGTTTTCTGACAGTGTTCGCTCACCTGTCCCCCAAAGGCTGTCCCCAGGCTGCTATTCTCCTTGAGGCAGCACCCAAGCTTCTTGGTCTTCCAGCTTCTCTTTGTCCAGCAGGTCATGACACAGTCATTTTTATGTAACCCAAGCTCCGAGCTTTGAACTCTTAAGAGTGTGCTCCCAGATAGTTTTTCAGTCTTAAACAAGCAGATTGTCCTGTTGTCTTATTCGTCATCATAGATGTCGGCTTGTGTCCGTTGCTAGACTTCATGTGGAACACAAAGCTCATGGTCTGAGTACAGGTTTTCTCTATCATGATATGAGCTCTGGTAGAGCCATGAGTGATCTCTACCTTCAGTGGAGTGGCTTGGAGATTAGCCGTGGCCACCATAGACACAAAGTGCTTAGTCAGTGCCTTGGAGACTAGCCACATGAGGGTGTGGCCTGAAGGGTCAGACTGATAACTCAAGCAAACTTCGAATACCCTGTTGAGCCCTCCACTCTCCACCATCAACAAACCCCATGTACATTTTAAAGTCACCTTTCTCTGTGAATTAGAGGGTTTTTTTGTTTGTTTGTTTGTTTTTGTTAAGTTTGGTTTTTCTAGACAGGGTTTCTCTGTGTAGCCTTGGTTGTCCTGGACTCCCTTTATAGAACACACCAAAAATTAAATTCTTGGTGCAGCATCTTTTCTCCTCTGGGGAGGGCAAGTGAGCGACTCCATGCATTTTTGGGGAATGAAAAGTTTTCATTAACTTTGATTTAAATCCTGCCCCTTGGCAAATGTCAGGAGCACTCCACTGGGCACTAGTTTGGGGCATAAGAGCAGATTGCATTAGATGCTATCACAGCCGCTGAAATTGCCAAGCTCAGCCCTAATGCAGCAATGTCAGCTGGGTTTTATCACAACAGAGAAGAGTGGAGTAGGAGGGTCAGGGTGGACAGAAAATTACTAACGGAGACTCAGGTGTTGTGCTTCTTGATGAAGTAATCTAACTGGATTCCTGCTAAAGGAAGGTGAAAACCTGGTGCTTAGACGTTAAAGCTGAGAGATGAAAAGCTTGATCAGATACCCAGCATGGTTGAATATCAGAAGTGGGATCACTGAACGGAATTATTGCTAAAAATGAGAATGAATATGGCAGGGAGAGTCTTTGTACCAGCCTCAAGCCTGGATTAGCTCTGAAGGCAGGCCTTTGCTATGCTCAGGACTCACACATTACCCTGTGTCTCTCCAGGTCCTCTCACACTTATTTTAACCATATGGTTCCTGAGTTCCTGAGTCAGATGTCCCTAGAGCTAGCCAGCTCCCTGCCATAAGCATGTTCCACCCAACCAACCCAGAAACAAACCACCCACCAGCAAACAGTTAAACAGTAGACAGAAAGCAAACCACAGCATCCTTGGGATCTGCTGGTCATTGAATAAATTGAAGAAGCCAATTTTGAGGAGCTAGAGAGGTAGATCATGGCTTAAGAGCACCGACTGCTATTGAAGAAGACTGTGTTCCCAGCACCCACGTGGTGGCTCACAGCCAACTGTGACTATAGTTCTAGGGAAAATGATGCCTTCTTCGGACCTCTGTGCACTCCTCCACTCATGTGACAGGCATACATGCATTCAGACATAGCCACATACACATGAGGAAAAAAAAGAAAAGAAGAAACCTCATTGTACTTTTTGTCTAGATTTCTGGAAGGCTTTTCAGCCTGTTAATATTCAGCAGGCTCTGCCACCATGACATTTCCCTATTAGAAGTGCCCACTTGGCCTTTGGGGAGTGTCTCTCCACGAACACGGAGGACTGAGTAGCTGAGGCAGGTATCGCTGGATAGTACCTGTTGAATCAGTCATTTGCCTTCAGGTGCCAGATGACTGGGTAGTCTTCAGAACTGCAGGGTTTATCTATCTCAGCACAGCACAGCATAGCACAACAGCCACATGCAGTTCATGTGAACACTTACGAGCATGAGTAGTTTAGGTGCCTGACTTAGACCAAAAGCAGAATCAAACTATAACACCAACAGCAAAGGAAGGGGCAGTGTTATAAAGAGTGGTCATAACTGTTGTCAATAGCATAGAAAGTCCTAGTCGACTTTCTTCTAGGGCCTAGTAAGTTTATAATGAATAGAAATTTGGCTCACAGTTCAGGAATCTGGGGAAGCCTAAGATGAGGGGACCAGGAGAATGTCTTCATGTGTTTCACCATAGCAGAAGCATCACCTGGGGAATGGGGAGATAGAGAGGAAGTCTGAGCTCTCCTGCTCCTAAGGAAGGAGACCTGTGCCTGAGATTTGTGCTACTGCTGCTTTCATGAGGACAGAGTCCATCTGCCTTGATCTTTACTTCTGAGATCCCCTAACAGTGCCACACTGGTGTTGACCTTCCAACATGTGAACTATAGGTAGGGGCCATGTTCAGACCATAGCAGAGCATGAGATGTGGGGACAGAGAAGCGCTTTGGGCCTCTCTTGGTCAAGGAAGCTTGCTCTACTCACACCAGGCTCCTCTTGGCTTTCATAGAAGCACCTCTTCCAGACAAGCGAGGGCTGTTTCTGTGTTAAAGCACAGTAAATGCTGCTGCTGGCTTCTCCCAAGAGCTTGTGATACCAGAAAGGGTGGTGGACAGGCACAGGAGATTGCAGAGCAGCCATAGAAGACACCCAGCAAGAAGCCAGTGCCAGCATCTGAGCAACTGTTCAAAGGCCTGTGAGCATCCTTGCCTGTCTGACATGAGACTCTGAGCTTTTTGAGGATGGTGACCGAACAGCCACCACAGGCCTGGAGTGCAGCTGTGTGCTGGTCACTCCGGCCAAACTGTACCCCCGAAATGTCTTAGGATTCCAGATGTGAATCTTTTGTTTTTGTTTTTGTTTTTTGTTTTTTGTTTCCAAGACAGGGTTTCTCTGTGTAGCACTGGCTGTCTTGGACTCGCTCTGTAGACCAGGTTGGCCTTCAGCTCACAGCGATCCTCCTGCCTCTGCCTCTCTGGGTACTGGGCTTACAGGTGTGTGTTAATGCGCCCAGCTCCAGAGGTGAGTCTTTTAGAAGGAAATGTCTTTTTAAAAGAATTTAAGCAAACATCATTTAATGTTAACCTTTATATAGGTGGAAGAAAAAAAACTTATTAAGCATAAAATATAAAACATCCTGCATTTCTTAGATGATCCTTAGTGTTCGTATTTCCAAAATAAATAAAATAAAAAAAAAGCCACGGTGAAATGTTTTCATGAGAAAAGCTGTGTTCCTGACATAACTTACCTTCATAACTGTCCCAAAGTAGTTATTTATTTATTTATTTTTTTAATTTGGAAAAGTCACATAACACAGCCCCTTTAAAGTAAAAGTTCAGTCATTTAGCACATGCGTACTGTCTTCCAACCATTGCCCCTCTGCAGCTCCAGAACATTCTTGTCGCATAACAGTTTTTTTTTACAGTTGTTATTTAGAAAACATTTGAGGACTTTGGGCATCATAAAAATGATTAATGGCTAATGTTTGTTTACTTCAAGGGAATGCTTTTATAATTTTGCAGTTTCTATTTGTGTGCAGCATAGTGATACTGGGGTTGTTTTGGGCTGTTGTCTTTACTGTGAATACAAGGTTTTGTGAAGGGTCGGGGTTGGGTCTATCTGTTTGTTTACTGGGTTCATAGAGAATAAGAGTATCCAACAACTTACCAGTAGTTCAGAATAGGGGAACTGAGTTTGGTGGAATTCAGAGGGCAGAAATGGATGGTGTTTGCTGGAGGAGGAAGGAGAACAGGGTCCAAGAGTATTTGTAAAGGGGGAAAAAGTGAAAGAGAAAATGGGGGTCTCAGTTGCTCTTACTTTGAAGCAGTATTTTTATTTTTGAGAGTTAGCTCAACAGTTAGGAGCTCCAGCTGCTCTTCCAGATGACCCAGGCTCAGTTCCCAGCACCCAGGTGGCCATTCACAACTGTCTGCAACTCCAGTTCCTGGGGTTCACACACTTCTCTGGCCTCCCCTGCCACTGCACACAGTGGTTTACAGACATACATGCAGGCAAAACACACGTACACATAAAATAAAATA